GTGTGTGTAGGTAGGTAGGTAGGTAGGTAGATAGATAGGAGTGTCTGTGTGTGTAGGTAGGTAGGTAGGTAGGTAGGTGTGTGTGTGTGTGTGTACCTATCTATCTATTGATGGCATATGGAAGGGTTAGTGCCCCTGTGATGTTTGTTTTCTGTTTGTGAGATTTCACCTCACTTTCTGTCCCTGTGATGATAGGAGAGTTCACAAGACTTTGCCTCAAGAGTGGTGCTTGTGGATAAGGTCTTGTTAGAATATGAAGTTCACTTCTGTTTCTCTGCCCGCCCACCCCAAACAACAGGCTTTATGGGGTTGTTTAAAGACAAAGATGCCTCTTCCTACCTCATTTCACCTTCTCTCATTCCGTCCACATTCCACTTCATCCATTTGATTGCTCTGTCTGTAGCAATTGGAATTGGTTCTTTCCCTGGTTTCTGTTTTGTTCCTTAATAGTTGTTCAGTGTCGATAAGGCAACACTATGGTGGGGTCGGCTAAGCAAGGTATAACTTGGAGGGAACGAGTAACCTAAAAATACTTTGCACCTGGCTGGTTTTTGGATTTTGCGTTAGGTGGGAAGATTTTTATCAGTCCTCCCTTCTTTTCTCACCAGAAGTCTAAATATGTTTTCCTGTAAACATATTTCTGAGTACCTGTGAAATATTTCTTGTTCATATTTGTCATGCCTATGATTGATACCTTTTTATCAGTTTTGCCTCTTTCATTACCCTATGATATAAATGAGCCACTCTCTTGTGACTTAAGGTAAAGGTAAACATTAAGTCCAGTCGTGTCTGACTCTGGGGGTTGGTGCTCATCTCCATTTCTAAGCCGAAGAGCCGGTGTTGTCTGTAGACAACTCCAAGGACATGTGGCATGACTTAGGATCTCCTAAATAAATATTCATTTTAACTTCTAAGAGATTGTCAATTGATTACATGTGTATAGGGAGCCCCCAGTGGTGCAGTGGGTTAAAGCGCTGAGCTACTGAGCTTGTTGACCGAAAGGTCGCAGGTTTGAATCCGGGGAGCGGCATGAGCTTTCGCTGTCAGCCCCAGCTTCTGCCAACCTAGCAGTTTGAAAACATGCAAATGTGTGTAGATCAATAGGTACCGCTCTGGCGGGAAGGTAACGACGCTCCATGCAGACATTGGAGGGGCCTACAGACAACTCTGGCTATTCGGCTTAGAAATGGAGATGACCACCACACCCCAGAGTCGGACACGACTGGACTTAACGTCAGGGGAAAACCTTTACCTTTACCTACATAGATTGGAGTGCATTGATATTTTTTGAGAAATTTGAATTAAAATAATAAGTTTTGCTTTTGTATAATATTTAAAAACAGTTACATATCCAATCTCACTGCTAAATGAAAAGTTTTTTTCCATTTAGTCATCATCTTATTGGTGAATTATGTGACAAAATAAGCATTGGCTGTCCCTCAGTCCTAAATTTTCACTTGATCAGATAGAACCTGCCGCAGTACTAGTGGTACTTAAAATACACTGACTAAGTTTGTTTGTATCAGCTTTTAAATTAACTGTTAATTCATAGGGTTTTCTCAGGCAAGGACTAGTCAGGAGTTCCTAGTCGTCTCCTCTAAAATGTAGCCTAGTGGTATTCATATCCCATCCGAATATTAACCAGAGCTAATCCTACTTCCCAGATCAGGCAGGATCTTGTACCTTTAATGTATTTAGGCCCTTTACTGAGCCATATTGATTCTTTTATTCCTTTTTTGCTCAGAAGTAAGCACAAAACAGAGCTTTTCTCACTGAGCTCTCAGCATGCATCAGCTCCTGTTTTCAATCAGCCAGTGCTGGTTTCCAACACCAGTGCTATAGCTGGTAGTGAGAATGATAATGCTATGGTTTTACATCTCTGCTTGATCAAAAAAAAAGGTGAGTCTGGATGGCCAATGGGGTTTCCATTTGAAAAAGGGGAAAAAAATAAGGAGAAACTGGTTTTCTCCATCTGTCAAAGACAATAAGAAAAGCACAGAGATTTATTGGAGGCAAAGAAGCTTGCCTCCTTTCTTACTAATACCAACCAATTAGAAAAAAACACTTTTGCCAGGTATGAACCAACTAAAGAAAAAAAAAGAGCTTTCATTACATACAAATATTCATACCTTGTTTTATTTTAATTTATTGATGAATCAATGAAGTAATGTTGTTTGTCATAGTTTTTCTGTAAATACACAAAGTTAGGAATTCCTGTTCACATCGCTGTACTAAAAAAAACACCACTTTAGAAACTTTTTTCAAAGACTTCTTTTTCCATTGCAAACATGAGCTGGCAAAAATCAACTAACTCAACCATGTTTAGAAAGTATGCCCAGTATGCCATTCAGGAAGAAACTTATAAAACTTGGATTGATTTGTCTTGTTTGAATGTTGCCATGGCAGTAAAAGTGAAATCATAGCACTATGACTGTATAATGCGAAAACATCTCACCAGAAGCCCTCCAAGTATTGGATGCCACATTTGGTCCAGTGAATGAAAATGCATCCTGCATATCAGATATTTACATTACAGTTCCTAACAGTAGCAAAATTACAGTTATGAAGTAGCAACAAAAATAATTTTATGGTTGGGTGTCACCACAACATGAGGAACTGTATTAAGGGGTCACCGCATTAGGAAGGTTGAGAAAAACCGATCTATAGCATCTAATTTTTATTCCTTCCATCTTTCCGTTTCCTGAAGAATCGCAGAGAAAGTAGAACATTGCAGAGAAAATAGAGAAACCAGTAAATATTCTCTATATACTCCTGATGTTGTTGAACTGCAGTTCTTAGCACAGACAGAGGTGAGGGGAGATGGGAGTTGCCATTCAGCATCAGTGGGTGAGGCACAGGATGCCCATAAGGTTCTTCTTTGCAACAGAGCCATAGAAATAGTAATAGTATCAGGTTATATTAAATGTGTAATGGAAAACAATTGATGCGTGTCCTAATAATCTTTTTCTATTGTGTATCCTGTTTACTTGCTGGAGGTGATGAACACTCACAGGGAAGCTCATAACAAAAAGGCAATAGCACTATATAACATGATTTTTGTTCCTGAGTTATAAATGTCATTTTCTAATTGGTTCTATCATAAAAGCATGGAAAAATTGTATTAAACTACAAAACCTTTGTTTTTGAGAGACATCCTACAGCACATTGTGCTATAGTTTTTCAATAAATATCTCATAGAGTCTCAACCAATTCAACATAGTTTGTGGTAGCCACAAAAAACAAAGTTTCCAAAGTATAACAACTACTTTCAAAGTACCACACAATTAAACCAGAAATAATACTTTCAAACCAGGAACAGAAATTTCAAAAAAAAATATTACACAGTGTAGTAAATTTGCAAAGTTTGAGACAAGCAATCAAACAAAACTCATCATTATTATTCATTGCTGTTTAAGTGCTATGAAGGTGAATTTGTTTACAGGATTTAAAATGAGGATTATGTTTATTTTCCCATTGGGAACTGATAAATGCTCATACAAACAATTCTGTTTAATAAAAACAAATAGCAGTGATTGCTTTTGAGGAGAGAAATTGTTTCGTAAGATAGGTCTTTGTTTCTCCTACAGACGTAGCTTTCCAAAAGCGCAATTTACTGTAGTACAACAAAAATCTAAACATCTTGTAGAGAGACCTTTATTGAACTTTATTGAACACCAGCTTGACTGGGTTCCTCATAATATAACAAGCATGCAGGGGAAATAAGTTGACATTATTACGCTTTAACATATTATCTGTATGGTTCTTTTCGTATCAGGAGCAACTTGAGAAACTGCAAGTCGCTTCTGATGTGAGAGAATTGGCCATCTACAAAGACATTGCCCAGAGGACGCCCAGATGTTTTGATGTTTTACCATCCTTGTGGGAGGCTTCTTTCATATCCCTGTATGGGAAGCTGGAGCTGAAAGAGGGAGCTCAAGCTGCTTTCCTCGAATTCAAACCACTGACCTGTTGGTCAGCAGTCCTGCCGGCACAAGGGTTTAACCCATTGCACCACCAGGGGCTAGGTGGTAATGATACAGGAAGTATATACAAACAGTGACCAAGTTATGAACAAGATAAGCTTTCTCACCCCCGTTCTTAAGTATGAGTCATTTGTAAGTTGGATATTTGTAACTTGGGGACCAGTTATATAGACATAAAGTTTGTTTGTTTTATTTGACAAAGAGTTGGTTTCGGTTCCTGAACAAGGCAGGAAGCTCATTATTTCTTTGGCTATGTTCAAATAATCAAAATACATTATGTGGGGTGGCAAGGACCATCTAGTCTGGCCCCCTGCTATGCTGGAATACACCAATACAATACTCTTGACAGACGCCCATCCGATCTCTGTTTAAAGACTTCCAAGAGGGAGAATCCATCACCGTCCAGCCAATTTATCCCAGTGTCAAATAGTTCTGACAGTAAAGAAATGTTAGGTGGAATCTCTATTCCTAGTGAATTGTGTGTTGACCTCTGGAAGAGCAGGAAACATGCTCATAACATCAATGAGACTTTGACTTCTATCATGGTATGGCATTCATCAATATCCTACCATGAAAATAATGTCCCACCATGATCACAATACCCCACTGTGATAACTGTGATAACTGGGAATTCATCAAAATTTAGGGCAATCTGGACATAATTTTCTCACTTTTATTTATTTTGGTGGGATTCTTGTGAAATTAAAATATTTACCGGCATATTGACATGTCATGTTGAATTCAGAGAACATGGGGCACAAAATGGATAAAGCAAAGAATATGAGCAAGGACGCTGTTGTCTATGCAGGTTTGTGCAATTAGTAAATCAGTTGGTCCCCAAATATCACAGCACGAAATTGTATCCACTCTGGCTTTCTAATTAAAGTTTTAATGCTATAGCAAATTACTGGTGTATTAAACTCAAAATTCACATATGGGCATCTCTGTGAAAGCAGCATCCTACTTATTTGGGCAGGGTTTCTAAGACACTGTTTTAATTTTCTGCCTTTCTTACAGGGTGAATGTTCTCAGAAGTGCCAAGACATCTTTGTGCTGGAGACTGTCTGTGTGGCTTGGTTTTCCTTTGAATTCATCTTGCGCTCCATTCAAGCAGAGAGCAAGTGCGCCTTCTTGAAGACCCCACTCAACATTATAGACATTATGGCCATCTTGCCTTTCTACATCTCTTTGATTATAGATTTGGCCTCGACCAAAAACAATGACAAGCCCGGAGGTGGAGGCAGCGTTGGAAACAAGTACCTGGAGAGAGTGGGCCTGGTCCTCCGCACCCTACGAGCCCTTCGTATCCTGTACGTCATGCGGTTAGCCCGGCATTCCCTGGGGCTGCAGACCCTGGGGCTGACTGTGCGCCGTTGCACACGGGAATTTGGACTCCTCCTCCTTTTCCTCTGCGTCGCGATGGCGCTTTTTTCTCCACTGGTGTATCTGGCAGAGAGTGAAATGGGAGCCAAACATGAATTCACCAGCGTTCCCAGTAGCTACTGGTGGGCTGTAATATCCATGACAACTGTGGGCTATGGCGACATGGTGCCTCGTAGCATTCCAGGACAAGTGGTAGCCCTGAGTAGTATCCTGAGTGGCATTTTGCTTATGGCTTTCCCTGTCACTTCCATCTTCCATACGTTTTCCCGCTCCTACATAGAGCTTAAGGAAGAACAGCAGCGAGCCGCGAGCCGGCAGCTTCACCAAACGGAAAACAAAGTCCCAACTGATGACAGCTCCCAGGAAGGAGATTCCACGTGTCCACATGGGAATGATGGAGAGATGGTTCATCCTGAGACACAAACGGACACTAAGGGTTGCTGATTTAAACTAAATTAAAGACTTTGTAGAAGAGAATGTGGCCAACTAGATATCTACATATCTAATATAATCACTAAACCACTCCAATTATGGTAGTAAGCCACTGAGTGAAGGAGAGACTACTTTATGACCAATGAATTCAGTGATCAACGAGGACACTGAAATATTATTGAGGACAATTTTAGCAACCTTCGAACAAAAGACTGTTTAGGAGTAAAAATGTTGCTGTTTGGTTTTTTAAAATAGCAGCAATTTTAGACAGGTCTCCACTGTGCATCTATGGGTGAAAATAATATTGTTAAAGGGTTTTTAAAAAAATAAGTGCCCAAAATCCACAGTGAGATATGTGTGCCATTGAGTACAAATGAGACTGGAGCAAAGAGTAGATTGCACAAGGTACCTTTTCTCCCCCAAACCTGTACCAGCAACAGATTCATGTTGTACAACCTCATGGAATGTGCACAGAAAGGGTCAAAGGTTAATGTGGAAGCACAGGGATACAGGGCCTTTTCTAGCTAACTTAACAAAACTATCCCTAGTTTACCTCTGTTGTAGTTTTTCTTCAATAAAAACAAATCAATAACCACGATTTTGGCTGCCTGCTGACAGGCCTGACGTGTGCTTTAGCTCTTTATGCATTATTTAGTGAACATGCAGATTTGCCACAGTAAGCTTTTGCATCCTAGCCTGGATGACAGACATATCTACAGTCTTTGCTAAGATTTGAATGTACATTCTTTTACAATGACATTATGATGATTAGTCTTTCAGCATATATATTCTCCTGCTGCAGGGCCATACTTTTTAAACTGGAAAAAAGAACCACTAAGGAAAACCAATGGCTTTCTGACAGGTAGCCAATGTGCTCTGGTCCCTCAGCAATCAAAACAAGAGTTTGGCTTTCTCTTTTCTCCAGCAAACACACCCTGCGGCCATAGCTGTGGGAGATTGAAAAGCTGCTCTTGCCTCTTTTCATTCCCAGAAAGAAGAAACACTAACATGATGTTACAGAGAGTAAGTGATACAAAAGCGAGTTGCACATACAACTATGGTACAGAGATCAGAATATGCAAAAACTGAATTCTGAACATTTCCAAAAAGGAAGCACAAGACACTTTCAGTTTCCCCAGTACCATCTAATAGTTGCAGCCCCTTGGGCTCTTCTCTCAGGCCTTCTTCTCACACACCATCCTATCCTATCCTTCCTTCTCTCTTTTCTGCCTCCCTGTTTCTTTCTCCTTTCCTTCCACACTTTCATCTTTCTTTCCTCTTTCCTTTCTCCTTTCCTTCCACCATTTTGTCCTTCCTCCCCCTCTCCCTCTTTCTCCTCCTTCCTTCCTTCTTTCTTTCCTTCCCTTTTGTCTTTCTTTCCTTCTCTCTTTCCACCCTTCCCTCCCTCTTTCTCCTTCCAACCTTTCCTTCCTTTTTCTTTCCTTCCTTCCTTCCTCCCTTCCTTCTTCCCTCCCTTCCTCCCTTTCCCTCCTTCCTTTCTTCCTTCTTTCCTTTCTTCCATCCATTCTTTCCTTCCATCCTTTGGTCCTTCCGTCCTTCCCTCCCTTTGATTTTTCCTCCCTTTCCCTTCCTTTTCCTCCTTCCTTCCTTCCTTCCTTCCTTCCCTCCCTCCCTCCTTCCATTTTGTCTTTCCTTCCTTTCCCTCTTTCCTCCCTTCTTCCCTCTCTCCCTCGTTTTCCTTCCTTCTCTTTCTCTTTCTCTTTCTCTTTCCTTCCTCCTTCCCTTCCTTCCTTCCTTCCCTTCCCTCCCTTCCCTTCCTTCCCTTCCATCCATCCATCCATCCATCCATCCATCACCGGATGACCAGTCCTCTTAGCAGAGGGTGCTAGCATGTGACCCCAAAGTTAGAAAGTTTGTCCATGCCTAATCTAACAAATAAAGCTGCTCTGAAGATGAAAATAAAGTCTGCATTTCAGAGTGATGCAAAATGACGTCAGTCATAGGCTTTGTTCTACTTGGTTACCTTTGGAGCATGCATACTATTTCTATCCTACATTGAGCAGGAGTTTGGCCTATGGGCTCCCTTTCAGCTCTATGATACTATTATTCATGGCTAATCTTTGAAAATTATTGCCTTAGGGCAATGAGGAAATTAGAGAAGAGGAGCAATAATGGTCCTGTATTAGCTATTTTCTTCCTAAAGTAAGAAAGGAATTTGCCACAACAACTGGATGTTGCCAGCCCCAATTCCCACTATCCAAATAAAAATAACTGCTTTGAATCTGAGGAAAAATTAACAGGGCTACCACCAGAGATAAAAGAATGTTCTGGCAGAAGAGAAGGGGGATGAGGCTGGTGTCATTTATTTCTGAATAGCGAGATCATGAGGTTGCTTTTTCTAGCCCATTTCGTAGAGCAGGGGTGCTGACAAAATAGCTGCATTTAAGCCATGCTGCTATAGTATAAGGATAATCAGATTCTTTTAAACAGAGCTTTTAACTGCTGTGTCCTGTTTGTTTTTTTCTTATTACTTGTTCCAAAATATTTGAAAATAAAAATATGGACAATAAAGCCCTCCTAAGACACAGAATCCAAATCTCTTCATTCTTAATAAACTCGTTGTGTCATATCTGAACAACACTTGTACATGCGCTGCCTACAGAGAGCTGCTTTTATTTAATGTGCGTGAGACCGCAACATACGCAAGGCAACCTTTCATTTAGGGAATTATTGCTGGTATATGCATCCTGCCCTCCAGATGCTGAACTGCAGTTCTCAGAACCCCTTACTATGTGATGATAGTGGTAGTCTTATACTATGCACAACTTTCCCCATCTCTGGGTCTGGTTTTAGAAGCAGGAATAGGATGCTTCTTCTGCAACTTGGAAAATAAAGTATCGTTATATACGTCTTACTCAGGATGGTATCATTCTCTTGCCTAAAATCAGGTTAAAAGCTGCAGATCAAATGCAACGTGGGACCATTCCAAGTATATTCCAGGGATAGAGAGGGAGACTTCCATCCATAAACTGTTATATGGAGGAATGGAGAAACACCTTTGATTTCATCACGCACAGTAAAATCAGAATTTCTAAACATTTTAGAAACTGCAACCCACAGCGCCCTTCACATGACATGGGCTTCAACTGTGGGGTTGAGGTATTTTGCAGTTTCTAAAGTGTCAGTTTTTCCAACAATTCTTAAGCTGGTTGGCAATCAACTTATTTTCAAATTCCCAATAAATAGGTGGGCAAAATGGCCCATTTCCCTGTGTGATGTTAATCCCTGTTGCCCTCTTTTGTTGCCTGCTTGTAAGTAAAATGATGAAGCTATGTGTGGGAGGAGCTGAAATGCCAATTTATTTATTTATTTATTTGGTACACTTATATACCGCTAACTTCTCAGCCTGGATCGGCGACTCAGTTGCGGTTTACAGCATTTAAAATCAATCTCCAGTTTAAAAACATATACAAAATACAATTACAAATTACAATAGCAAATTATTGGGCCACCAATAATAATCCCATATTTAAAACCATTTCCTACAATCTGGGGTGATGTTTTTTTAAAAAAACAAAAACAAATAATCAAAATCCTAGAGAGGACAATGGGAGGAAATCTCAGTGCAAATTACCCCAGGGAAAGTGCCGCCTTAGGAAAGGTGCTTAACTCTGTTTCAATTGAAGGGTCTTGAGTGCAAACAACTCCATGGAAAGTGCCACCTTAAGGAAGTGCCACCTTAAGTGGAAGAGGCTTGAATCCAAACAACCCCAACAAAAGTGCCACTTTAAGAAAAAATGCCTTAAATCTGATTCAGTGGAAGAGTCTTGAAGGCATTGCTGGTATGCTTGAAATAAGAGTAGTTCATGTGATGGGAATTAAGCGGATGGTTGAGTTCGAAGTTGAAGGCGAACCAGTATGATGGGAGTGAGTAAATTCTTCACCAGAACCCCATGGAAGTCCACCTTTCCCCCCACTTTCCCTCATTTTATCCAGCTCCTTGTGATGAAGTCCCTTGTGTAAGTGGGAATTGGATATCTCTTAATGCAAATGTCTAAATGAAACAACTACTGATATAGCCATGAGTTTTGCAGGTGTTACACTCCAAGCAGATTCTGTCTCAATATTTTGGATACTTTGCATCAGAGTACATAGCAATACTGATAATTCCTGCTAACATTTGCATAAAAACATATTACATTGCTCATAACATATTTATGCTAAATTTGTATGCCAGAAGTAATACTTGTAATTAAATGTTAACTCTCACTCACCATTTTTGTCATAATGGATATGTTGTAGTAACACTAACTGGAACCTTAGAAGTTCTCCTAGAGTCGCCTCTGGCTGAGAAAGGCAGTATACAAATGCGGTAAATAAATAAGTAAATTCAACATTGAGCCTGGTACCCCAGATTTCAGCAGTGGCCAGGGGAGCTTTTGCACAACTTGTGTGCCAGTTGTGCCCATACCTTGAGAAGTCAGACTTGGCCATGGTGGTCCACGCTCTGGTTACATCCCATATAGATTACTGCAATGCACGCTACATGGGGTTGCCTTTGAACACTGTTCGGAAGCTACAATTGGTCCAATGGGAGGCAGCCAGGTTACTCACTGGAGCGGCGTACAGGGAGCATACAACTCTTCTGTTATGTCAGCTCCACTGGTTGCCAGTCTGCTACCGAGAACAATTCAAAGTGCTGGCTTTAGCCTATAAAGCCCTAAATGGTTCTGGCCCAGTTTACCTGTTCAAGCATATCTCACCCTATGAGGCACCTCAGAGATTAAGATCTTCTGGAGAGGCTCTCGGTCCCACCTTCTTCACAAACATGACTGGTGGGGATGAGAAACAGGGGCTTCTAAGTGGTGGCCCCTCAACTGTGAAACTCCCTCCCCAGGGGCATTAGATCACTCCCCCTCCCTCCTAGCCTTCAGAAGGAGATTAAAACCCTGGCTTTGGGACCAAGCCTTCGGAGAAGCAGTACAATAATATAATATAATTGGAATATGTGCAATGACTATGGAACAGCCTCAGACTACGATTTTTGGATGGCGTGATTTTCATATTGAATGTAATTTTAATTTTTAAAATATGTATTAATTTTAATTCAATGGATATTAAGGTTAATGTTGTCTGTCTTTAAGGCATTGAATAATTGAAGAATTGCCATATGTAAGCCGACTTGAGTCCCCCTTGGGATAATAGAGAAAGGCAGGGTATAAATAGGGTAAATAAATAATAATAAATAAACCTCCCAGAGGGAGTGACTGACACCATTGCTACCACAGCCCAACATTTATTTTCCAGAATGAATTTGCTACTATTAGGCTTTACTACCTCCATATATACATGTGATCCCTTTTAAAAGTCAGGTAAGATAGAATAATGTCCTAGAGTAGGAGGTTTCTTTGCTTTATACTTTTGAGGAACTCCACCTTCTTGTCAATTATGCTTGCCTTTGTTCTTCCATGATATACTTGCTGTTGCCGGAATTTAATGAAATATTTTAATTTTGGTAGCATAATGACAGCAGCTGCCACCTTAATCCATGTGCTACTACACCAGAGGGAGGCTTAGATAATGGCAAGTAGTACAGACAGCACTCTCTCTGTTGCATTCAATGTTCTGCATAAAAGAAATGTCATTTCCCCCTTTTTGTATCCAAAACATGCTGGCTGGATTAAAGCAACACTGTTGAAAATCAATGGAAGAGAAAGAGCCAGCCATGCTGCTTTGCAAGCTGATATTCTACGGGGCTATTTGAATCAACAACCTACGAACTTTTTTGAGAGCTTGCTATCATACATAGGTTTGGCTCAAACTTCAAACTTTAGCATCCAGTCAATTTGCCAGAGGCTGTAAAGGGATTCTAGTCCTCAGCTGCAGAGAGGGATTTAACAGATGCAACCAGGCTTAGAACTGCTGGGGATATTCACCATGCGATGTAGAAAGAGCCCCATTTTCCTTTCCAATGAAATCCATATTCATATAATTGTCAAAGTCAGAGGTGCTGGTGACATTTTATACTAACATTAAATTTAAATGGTTGCTGACTTTCCCGTAGAAAAGACTGGATTAAAAAATGCAGAAGTATTTCTGATCCAAGACCCAGAACATTAGTCATGTCAAAAGACTCACTGATGACAATAGGCTTTGAGTATGCCTTTCTTCTGAGTCCATGATCATGAATATAATAATAAAGTATGGATTATTTCCTATGTTAGTTGTTTAAAGAATGGGCCTATTGAAATAAGCAGAAGTTCATAGGACACAATTAACCCCATTAATTGTATAAATGTGTAACCCTCCTCATTGTATGCAGATACTCAAACTCATTATTGCAGCATTTGTTGAGGTAAATTAAGAGCATCCTATATTAAACCAAATTTTTCCTCCAAATCAGGAATGGCAATTGGGTGGATCTCCACAAGTGGTTACATTGTAGTTACATTATTACCCCTAGCAGTTGTAGTCCAACAGTTGCTGAAGAACCATATGATTCCTACTTGATCTAGATCAGGTATGGGCAAACCCTGGGCCGGGGAATGGAGGCGGCCCCTTGGGCTTATTTCTCAGGCCCTCCTTTCTCACCATTCTTCCTTCCCTTTCCTTCCTCCTCCTATTCTTACCTTCCTTCTTTACCTCCCTTTCTCCTTCCATCTTTCCCTCTTTCCTCCCTCCTGTCCTCTCTCCCTTTCTCCTTCCTTCCTTTCTTCCTTACCTTTTGTCATTCCTTCCTCTTTCCTCCTTCCCTCCATTTCCTTCCACCCTTCCTTCCTTCCTTCCTTCAATTCTTCTCTTCTTTCCTTCTCTTTTTACTTCCTCCTTTCCACCTGGGGAATGTTTCACTGGGAGAAGAAAAGGTACAGAGGGAACACGAGAACCATGTTTCAAGATTTAAAAGGGTGTTCCATTGAAGAGGAGGGAAAACTGACTTTATTAATAATAATAATAATAATAATAATAATAATAATAATAATAATAATAATAATAATTTTGTTTTTATACCCTGCCTACATCTCCCCGAAGGGACTCATGGTCACTAACATGGGGCCAAACCCAATCAACAGAGTTAAAAATGTAGCACATTAGAATGCATAACATGCATTTAAAAAACGTAAACAGCATTATAACAAAATATAAAACTTTCTGCTGCTCTAGAGAGAAGGGCGCAAGGGAACAACGGTTCCAAATGGCAGGGAAAGAGATCTGACTGAAAAGATTAGGACGAACTGCCTGAAAGTAAGAGCTCTGGAGAGTTGCAGAGGTTGCCTCAGAGTTTGATGGAGGCTGTCTATCAGAAGTGCTTTGCATGGCAGGGGTTTGGACTAGATGGCCCTTGGGGATCTCTTTCAGCTCTTCAATTCTATATCAGGAGTAGGCAATATGGGATCTAATGGATACACTTTTTCTCTCCCGTCCATCATCTCATCCTGACCAAGGCCAATCCTTTGGGGATCCAAACATTTCCTGTCTTTACCTCACTTTCTGCCTTTGAAAGAGAAGAGGAAGGGGAGGAAAAGGCAGGGAGGGGGCTTGGGGAGAACCCCTCCTCCCCTCCCAGCCCACCCACCCTGCTCCAGCCTGCCATGTGGCCCCCAAGTTAGAAAGTTTGCCCAAGCCGGATCTAGATTCTCAATTACCATTCCTGGGTGTGGATCAGTGAACAAGATGACTATGACCTTGTTAATTTCTAATGCAGGCTTTACATGTACCCCTACATTTGGGCATTTAATCCAATGTGGAAGATTGGTATTCAGTCCAAGGTTGTAGCAGCAGAGTTCCCACATTTGGTACCTTTATGGATGCAAATGCAGACATGGTTGTGTAAGGATGGCTTTAAACACAAAGGCTGTGTAGCACAAGTATGTGTTGAGATTTAGACTATGCAACCCCAGTGTAGGAACATAGCTGGTGAGTCCGAATCACATTTTTTGCAAATGCTTACTCAGTTCTGCTTTCCCCAGAAAACAGTTAAGTCCTGCAGACAACTGGCTTCATTGGTAAAAACCCCCATTAAACAGTTAAAAATAATTCTGATGGATGGTTAATAAGTGCATATTAGAGTGTAAGAGTGATGATGCTATTTAGAATATGAGAATATTATCAATCCTATTTAGACGTTCAGTAGAAAACTTTGTGATATGGTTGCCTTAGGGTTGCAATAGACTGGAAATGACTTGATGACACACAGCAAAAACAAGGATACTGAATCAACATGCAAAGAGAAAAGCACTATAGTCCTACCCTCTACATCTCTAACTCTGATGTCTTCCTTAAGGGTAGAGGGGTGTGTCGGAACAAGAAAGGTTTTGCTACACATGGAGGCCTTCCACATAAGTGGGAACACCAAGGGGGTAGATCTTCAGTATTCCCATTGCTGAGCCTCCAGACATATCCGCTTGTTGTTCTCCACCTGAAGGGAACGTGATGGCATGCTTTCGTCTTCACATAAATGACTAAATAGGGCTTTGTACCTCTCAAAAAGTGGGATACCGCTGACCGTGATAGGGTTATCCATAATATATCACCTGGCAGTTTGAGAGTCAAGTAAACAAAGGCTTTAAAATGAAAATAAGGTTGCAATAAAAAGTACCCGGGACTTTCTGATGTTAGGAGATCAGACAATGACTTCTGGAAGTTTTGGTGTGTGATTGCATGTGTGTTCAAGTGTCTTTTCACACTCTAACACACACATCTGTTCCCTTGGCCACCATCTGTAGGATTGTAACACAGATTATGATTTCTAGTGACATATTAGCTGAAGCTCTCAAGAAGACACACTCTCCCCATCTTACATTGAAAAGAGCAACAGTACAAAGTGAATGTGTGCATAATCGGTTTATTTATTTTTTAAAAACTGTAACTGATAGTCAAAACGAGTGTTCCATACATTCAAGAGATGCATTTAAAATTTACTTACAACCAAACTGGTGTGATAAGCATTTCAAGGTTTTTTCCCCTGTGGAAAACGTTTTGAGATGTGTTAAAGCAGTGGTTCTCAACCTGTGGATCCCCAGGTCTTTTGGCCTACAACTCCCAGAAATCCCAGCCAATTTACCAACTGTTAGGCTTTCTGAGAGTTGGAGGCCGAACATCTGGGGACCCACAGGTTGAGAACTACAGTGTTAATGGATATGGTTCTCTGACCACTGAGATGCTCTTCATAGAGGTTTTCCCAGGTGTGTGGGAGTTGCTTATATGTGAATAGTTCCCCTGTGACTGGGAGAAATTTTAAGATGGCGCATCCATGTGGGCAGACATCCCAGGATGTTTTGACATAACAAAGCACTGTGCTGGCAAGCAGCAGGAAAACACCCCAACAATTACTCTCCCCTTCGATATAGTCGGTAGCAGTAATCCCACTGATATCAACTAATATGATATATAGTGGAAATCTTTTAAAAAAAAAACCTTATCTTTCACCAAAATGTCTTGTAATGTCTAATTCAGGAAAGTTCACTCATGCTTTTAAACACAAATCTACTGAATTTTCTGATGTTTTTGCAGCCCAAGCATCATGACTGCTTTGGGGGGATATTGCCATTAGAAGGAAACTTGTACACAGCATTCGAGAAGAAGAAAAATAGTAGTAATTTCACCTTCAGTGAGACTTGCTGTGCAACGAGACATTGGGGATCTGCACAGGCTAAGCTAATGCACCCGAGCTTAATCCCGGACCTCTTCAAAGAAGGGGGTGGTTGGGAGAGTGCCCAGTACAAAAATAAAGTCCAGCATAGCACGTTATTATAAGAAACCCTGTCATACAAACAGAAGTACAATCCTAATTGCAGCATCATACCAGGGAAATATAAGGATGATGGAAATTCATAATTTAAAAGACAAATGCCCAGATGTTCAAACATAGCCAGAACATTTATGAAAAGGAGAGCAATTAAACATTCATATGATGCCATGCCACATAAAATCAGTTTGGTAAGGTCACTTCAGGCACAAGTTGAATAAGCATGGGAGCCAATCAATAGCTAAAGTCTAAGGTCAACTCTATATAGTGCTTCACACCAAGCTTTTATTGAAAGCAGCTTTCCTGAGGTTTTATATAATTGCGAGGAAGAAATCTATTACAGGCTTCTGTAGAGTGGAAGGACCCAACCTCTTTACCTGGATTGGCCATTTTCCTGCACTTTTAAGCTGCCAGATGCAGAAAGGTTTTACTTGTAGAAGAGGAAGCCCGGCCAGTTTTGAGGTTTCTCTATACTTAACAGATGAAGAATTTGGAAAGCCGAATGTATGAGCATGGAAGGCAAGAGACAGTTTCATAAAAATTAAACGAAAATCCTTGACAAGGTCTCATTCTCTCACTACAATGAAATCTTGTTGTCTCTTAAGGACAAAGCACATTTGGCACAGCCAAATGCATCAAGCACATAAAATGCCCAATCGAAAGCAAGTTCTGAGGATCAAATTCTCAGGCACACAAAGTAATTTATTCTTTGGAACATTTTTGGGAAAGAGAGCAACAATTTCACAGAGTGTCTGCTGATGACCTGAAATGTCATCCCCATGCAGGATTTATCTGGAAAAATACGTTAAACAATGAAGAACCCAAGTTTCTGAACACCATAGATTTCTTTTAAGGGAACGGAACAGTTCCTGAACCCCAGCATGATTGTGTGTTCACCTCCTTGGGGGTCAAAGCAACTGTCAAAAGGCAAGGAGCTTGAAAAATGGAGCAGTTCAAGCTGCACTGTGCTTGCATTTAAGTCTAGATCAAGTTCTCAGGAAAGTATTACATAAATCTGAAACTGTCAAAAAATTACATAAAGATTCTCCTTATCTCTCATCGACACTGCATGGAAATAATACAGATCACCAGCAGCTTTTTCATTCTTTGACGATCACATCAGTTTGCCTATGGATCTTACTTTAGGTTGTTGTAGGTTTTTCAGGCTGTATGACCATGTTCCAGAAGCATTCTCTCCTGATGTTTTGCCTGCATTTATAGCAGGCATCCTCAGAGGTTGTGAGGCAACCTCTGAGGATGCCTGCCATAAATGCAGGCGAAATGTCAGAAGAGAATGCTTCTAGAACATGGTCATACAGCTCAAAAAACCTACAACAACCCAGCGATTCTGGCCATGAAAGCCTTCAACAATACGTTCTTACTTTAGTTAAGCAAGCTGTGGTACTTCAATAGGTTTACAGTTGTGCTTCTCTTCCTCTCCAATATTTGGCTACTACAAAAACTTTACCCATAACACAAAATGGTTTGATTTGGCATTAAATAATACTTAGAACCAAGTTCATACTTCCAACTTTCCTCCAGATAGATCTGTAATGCATGCATCCCTAGGCTACTGCTCTTCTACCACATAATGGGTCTACTCCTACCTTAATGTACTGTTTCATTCTTTGAAAAATACCAACCCACATAGTATCCTTTAGTTGAACATGCAGTTGTACTGAAAGTCCCATTAGTTAGAGCACTCAAGAATCTTCAATGAGCCTACTATTGGAAGACATGGCTAATCAACTTTGTTGGGTTTTCCAGCCAAGAGGTATACTGGCACAAAGAGTGTCGATGTGTCCCAAGTTATATGCTTTCTGGCTTTGCCATTTTCACATCACTGTTGCTATAAATCCATCAGTGGTTCTTTCAGCAATGACTCTACAGGATTTTTCAGCCTCTTACACTTTTCCCCTCAGCTCTCTAATGAGTTGAGCTCATTAAACAAAACTGCTACGACATATTATTAGACTTCTTCCTTCCTCTCCATCTGTCTAAATACCAGTTACCAGATATTAATTTCTGATTTGTATTTTACCATTGTCCGGAGCATCACCCATACTATAAACAGTCCTCTCTCTGATATATATTCATTGATCACACTGGTCCAGCAGTGTGCAGGTATATACGTTAATAACACAGTTAGACTGAATAAAATACATTTCTTTACACTACCCCTTTTCTTCCCAGGCTTCAGCCTCCGCCACCCAAGATCAATCATACTTAAAAATGATTTCGCATTCTCCCTTACGGCGAATGCATTGCCTTCATCAGTCATATCAGAAATATAATAGACACTCCAAAACTACTACTCATATACATATTTTATATAAATAGGTTAAAGCTTCAGACAAAATACTCTGGTTCTTGTGACTGAGCTTTTTTAAAAAACGCATTGGAAACAGCAACATCCAGCCCTTGTGATACATACACGTGCACAAATACAAAGTGAAGTAAATAAAATTCGGTTCTATCTGCAGACAGGGCAGAAGGGGGTGAGAAAGTCCTAAAGATGAAAATCCATGTAAATAAGTACGCAACTCAAGCTAAATAAATCATTAAAAGCAATTCCAGCTATGATACCCTTGCAGGTTTCCATGTCTGATGCTGCTATTTCCAGAATAATCGTAGTTAAAAGAAGTGAAGTCGCAAGCCTGGCTCCAAACATTTCGACTTAGTTGCTTAGTAGTTGCTTCTACTGTGTGCTTTAAAGTGCCTTTGTACTGGCTGGGTGTGTTGTGTGTGAAACTGGCTTCTGTGGGTAGCAGCTGTAGAAATAAACCTGCAACAGGATGGCCATATCCACAAAGACCTGAAGAAGTCCGCAGATGGAGAACTGGAAGGGAGCCTGATTGAGGAGGAAGTACACCGTCTTGAAAGTGTCACCACTGGTCCACATCAGCACCATCTTCACACTAAAAGGGGAAAGAAACAAGAACATTTTTAAAGCAGGGTTAGAAATGGAAGAATTTTCAAAAATGCAGTCACATAAAAAAACCGCTGTAGTGACTCTATTAAATATCAATGCTGGTGGTGAGGTTGGGATGGGGAATGAAATGAAGTAATCGTGAACCAAACCTTTCTCATCTGATAAATGCCTGGCACCAAGAACTGGATCTCTTGCATGTGCTTGTACAGAATAGTCAATCATAATGTTACTCAATTCAAGTCAAAGGATATAGATAAAGAACAATGGCATGTGATTTCATGCAATATGTAAAGAAAGAAATATCTTCCAACATCAGATTTTAAAGCCAAGTATGATTTACCAATTTGTTCACATCCATAGAAATTGTATGCTTCCCCTTGTTTAAAATGTAATGAAACCAGCAAGTCCCATTTTGATATGGTTTCTAACTTCAATACAAGTCAAGATCCAAAACCAACTGTTTGAAATTTGCCTAAGACACTTGTTTTCTTTTGTTTTTCCAATGAAATGAGAAACCTGTCTTCAAAAGTGGTTTAAAGTATGGCTTGTACTAAGACTCTAAGGAGCCTCCATGGTGCAGTGGGTTAAACCGCTGAGTTGCTGAACTTGTTGACCGAAAGGTTGGCGGTTTGAATCCGTAGAGCAGGATGAACTCCTATTGTTAGCTCCAGCTTCTGCCAATCTTGCAGTTTGAAAACATGCAAGTGTGAGTAGATAAATAGGTACTGCTTCGGCGGGAAGGTAATGGTGCTGCATGCAATCATGACAGCCACATGACCTTGGAGGTGTCTACAGACAATGCCAACTCTTTAGCTTAGAAATGGAGATGAGCACCACCTCCTAGAGTCGGACAGGACTAGATTTAATGTCAAGGGGAAAGCTTTACCTACAGGACTCTGCATGAATTCATAGCTATTGATTGATTGGTTGATGTTAGTTTGCCAGTGTGATGTGATTTGAGCACGTGATTATGACTTTGGAGATCAGGGCTCAAATCCCCCAAAGCAATGGAAACCTATTGGGTGACTTTGGGCAAGCCACACTCTCCACTGCTGAAGAAGGCAATGGCAAGCCCTCTATAAACAAGTCTTGCCAAGAACATGTCATGGTAGAATCGTCCTACAGTCGGAAAAGACTTGATGGCATACAGCAACAACAAAGTGTCCCAGCTCATCAGGCAGACTGTGTGTAATACAGCAGTATTAGACAGATGCTCTAACTATATAAATAGTTTATTGAAAGAAAGAGAAGCACTTTGATAATCTATTTCAGGATCAGGCAAAGTGTAGCTAATGAGCAGCATGTGTTCTTCAGAACCATTTTGTGAGCTCCTTGGAGGTTAAAAATGCTCCTGAATGCCCCCAAATGGTAGCTAATTATTTCAGTCTTGAGTGCTTCAACATTTGCAGGTCTCCTGGACCCATCAGTGGGTCAGGAAAAAAGGAAAAACATTTACTTGGAAGATTTTTTTTAAAAAAAAAGAAAATATTTTTCCTCCTTCCTAAAAGCTCTCTGGGGTCAAGGGGCATAACTGTACTGTGTTTTAAGGGCAATTTATGCACTAGAAATTCCTCTTTTTTTAAAAAAAAAAAGTGAATTTTGTTTACTTTGTTTGAAAAAACACCTCCTCAGGAAGGCACCAAGACATGGTGAGAATGTCCATGTGTCCCTTAGAGCAGTGGTCCTCAACTTGTGGATCCCCAGGTGTTTTGGCCTTCAACTCCCAGAAATCCTAACAGCTGGTAAACTGGCTCGGATTTCTGGGAGTTGTAGGTCAAAACACCTGGGGACCTACAGTTGAGAACCACTGCCTTAGAGGGTGTTTGAGGGCACTGGGAAGGCTTTGGTTTCTTTTTCTCACGGAAGTGTGAACAGCATTGAGGTGGCCCTCTAAGTTTTCCTGAAGGGCTCATGTGGTCCCCAACCTTCCATATCTGCCCACCCTCATCAATTTCATCACTTGTGAGCCTAAAATTCAATAATATTCTGCTTTTTAAATCTTAAGTGTGAAAATAAAGGAAGAGGCTCTGAGATAACGTTTATAATTTTTTAAGAAATGTTTTTCATTAATGCACTCTTAGTACTGGGAGTTAAAAACACTGCCCATTTAAAGTGCCCCATTTACCATGCATTATAAATGGGCAGTGTTTTTAATGGAATGATAAGCAATGCCCAGTAAAAGCTTTGGAGTTCATTGTTATAATAGCCTAAAATCTATTATGCAACATGTAAGAAATATACGGTAATTGAAAGCAACAAGCACTTCAGATCTTATTTTACAATTAATCAGGTGTAATCATGTGTGTGACAAAATAGGGACACGACCCTCTATTTGTCCAATCAGTGAGAGACAATGGGGAAGCAAGGACAGATGTTAGATGGGGCCAAGTTTACAAATTATGAATGAGAGATGTGCCACACAGTCCCAAAATAACAGAGAAATAAGCCTGACTGCATTTAATGAGACTTAATCCATAGGACACAGTGCATCCAGAATATCACAGTCTAAGCACAATGGGTAAACTGGAGCTTGACGATAGCAAAGATAATTATCACAGTGATGCATTAACGTAATACAAGACTGGATCAAGCCCACAGAATAATCTTCTATTTAAAAATCATAGAGGATTGAAAATTAGCAATCCTAAAAGTAGACAATGCAGTTTTAACATTTTGGTATGCAAGTGACCTTGAGACACCACATCCTCAGTGATGGTAACTGAAAATTCAAATGGTTTGGAACTAATGAGCTCAACGCAGGTTGAGTTAGGTGAACATGGGTCTGATTGAAATCGATGGGATAGATTAATCATGACAATTTAAATCCCATGATTTCAACTGTCAGTGCTGGCTACTCACAAGTATTTGCACTTAGTTTATTTTTTCTACACTGAACTAGCAGGGGAGAAAGCCTAGAAAAAGCATGCCAAAGAAAGTCATCATCTGGAAGTGTTCTTAGTTCATACCCAGATGCAGTCCTATGCATCCCTGGGGTGCTGTCACTGTATGAACTATGTAAAAGCATTGGTGGGTGATTTTTCTCACACAGAAGCTGTCAGATGGCTCATTTATAAGCTTAACAAGTTCACATATCAAAAGTGGAGAGCATTCTTGGGAATCAGGGACCCTCTATGTGCTTCAATATTGTCATATGTGTACCAAAATTACAAGAATGGGGAAAAGTGATACAGGTAACACTTGATTGTGTATATGCAACAGCACTTGCATTTTAATGTATTATTTATTTTTGTTTACTATATTTATACCCTGCTCTTCTCACCCTGAAAAGGACTCAGAGCAGATTACAGATTATGGCAAAATTCAATGCCCCTGGTCGTACACCAGAAAAACACCTACACAATGTGGTGTTGTAGTTTAACCCATGATTGTGCTTGCTCCTAATGTCAATGAGGAAGTGGATCATGGGACTCCTGGGCCTGCGAGCCAGCATGAGATTTTAAGTCCTGAAACTGAGCAGTGTTTCTCCAGCAGCTAGTGAAAGCCACATTTCAGAGAGGGGCCCAGATGCTGCTGAGAAGCCTTTCTCTAGGGAAGCAAGGTCAGAGGCTAAAATGAGTTCCATGGATGAAATCCCAGGTGGAGAGGATAATGAGTTTTTAAATAGGAAACTTAGTTTTCGTAAACTCCTTGCAGCTCAACAGCATCTTCGAAGGTCACAGTGCTTGTTACAGAAAAAACCGTTATCAGGCAACCAGGGAAAATTGCATGATTTTATGTCTTTATTAGAGAGACCGGGGGATTTTCCAGCCAGTCTGATCAACGTTGGTGTTGAAGCAATAACTCTTGCCAAGTCCTAGTTAAGCCTGCTGAGAGAATTCTAGTTCATGTCTCTGTTCGTCCATGTCTCCTGCTTTAAAGTTTACTGTATGGGTAAAATCTGCTATGCACCTAATTCCAAATAATAGCATTCTACCACACATAAAATTTGGAAATGGATATATGGAAATTTGAAAATAATGTTTACCCTTAGACAACCTGCAGTGCTTTGCATATACACAATAACCCTTCCCTTTCAAACCCATTTTAAAACATGTTGCGTACTCCACCCTAATTATGGTCTTGTGCTTTTGCATATAAATCCCATGTCTGTTTTTTTTTAATGGACAAAGCTTGTTAGACATCATTGTATAAATACAGTACCTAAATTCTTACACTATACTGAGGTCATTCCTGTTCATTTAGCAATCCTTTGTATTTCAAGTCCACTTAAAATAGAAAAAAAAAAGATTAAAGCAACCTAGCTGTGACAGCCACAATTTAATAAAGTGCATTTTGGCCAGAGGGTCAAGAAAAAAAGAGGGCTGTTTCCTTTCATTGCAGGAGCTCATCTGGTACAATTAATAACACTGGAAATTTCTGCTTCATGTGTGTCCCCATTTATGATATTATTGTTTCCTCACTGCACAAACTCAGACCTAGTTCAGAATAACAGAACGTTTATATATATATATCAAGAGTACCCTGACTAGCTTCTGCTGCAGGAACAATTCTTTTCAGTCATTTCCGAATTTCATACAGAAGTAGAGTTGTATAAAAATGCTGCCTTCTGTGAAGTCCAGCAGCCGCACAGAATTATTCTTATTTTTTAAGGGAAAGAATAGGGGGAAAACACAGAAAGAAACCCCAGATAGGCAGGAAGCTAGAAGTAGCACACAATCTGCCTAGAAGCAAGAAAGAAGCCAAGTGCATGGACAGATAAGAAGGATTTCATTATACAAAGGTTATTTTTCCCATTCTGAGCAGCTGTTCTACAGAACCGTTTTCCTCTCCATTACTGGAAGAGGGAAGAGGTGCAACACAGAAATTATTTTATACAGAAGGCATTTTGACAAACTAAATATAAGCTAAAGACACTCTGTAATCCAAACCAAAGACCGCAGATAATTTTAAAAGAATCTAACTGTAAATCACTAAAGTTCACCAAGAATACTAATGGGATTGAAGTAGCAGTCTCCAAAAGAACAA